CTTCACAAATTGTATATGATTTCCCCCTGCAGTTTTAATGGAGAGGAGGAAAGCAGGCAGGACTACCATTAGAGGGGACCTTGACAAGTCAGAGAAATGGGCTGACAGAAGAAAAAGAATTTCTCACAATGGGGTGACTTGGTGTGGGTGGGATCACAGGCCCAGAGGGGATGGGGAATCTGTGTCCTGCAGGATACTCAAAATTTGACTTCATGAGGCTGAGCAGCCTACTCTGAGTTTGAAGTTGGCCCTACTTGGAGCAGGAGGATGGAATACAGACCTCCAGATGTTCTGTTAAGCTTTATTCTAGGATTCTGAGGTGGCAAAGCCTTTATATATCAAGAGGAAATACCATGTGATGACCTATGGGAATATTTGTCAGGAGAAGAGACAGCTCAGAGGAGTGATGAGCAGATGTAGACTAAGCCATGATGCCTGTGAGTTAGGGAGAAGCACAAGCCCAGCCAGGATTGTTTTCTTCAAAGTGAAGGTTTTGGCTTTAAAAACAGAAAAAAACAAAATAAACCACCATTAAAAAGGCTACCTACCTTAATATGTTCCTTAGCAGTATCTGAGAAGCCACCAGATTCAGCTTTCCCCTATACCTGTTATTCTTTCGAGGGCATAGTATTATGGTAAATAAACAGCATGGTTCTCATCATTCACAGACGCTCCTAATCCTCTTTTTTCTATCAGGACATGCTTAAAGCATTTGATAACTATAAGGCAGTGGTGCTTTCCATCAACCTGAGCAGCAAAGAATTCCAGAAGGCAGACAGCACAGAGTTCAAAGAGCTTCAGAACAGGCTTCGGAAGGTGAACTTGCACTGGGAGAAAGTAACTCATGTACTGGACAGCTGGAGGAAAGGTTTACAGCAAGCCCTACTGGACTGCCAGGTGCGTGCCACATGCCAGCCTGTAAGGAAGAACACCTCTCAGGCTGCTGCTGAGGGGTAGATAAGGGGAAAGGGCAGAGGGGTTATTCCCACAGTTGCTCAGAGTCCAACATGCTTCATTTTCTTACAGACTTGGCTCTGTTTGATTTAAAGAATTTGGTAAAAATACCCTTCAGCTGGATAATGCCCTTTTATTACACAGGTGGAATGGTTTAACTAGGTTGCTGTAGCTTCATTCATTGTGAATTTGTTGTTAGCTCTGTCTAATCTGGGCTGGTTGTTTTGTTTGTAGGCAAAGCCAGGTGAAAGCACTGCAAAAGTGTTGGGTTTTTTTTCCTGTGCAAATCTGTTGTTTCTCTAGGACTTCCATGATCAGAGCCAAAAACTAATCCTGTGGGTAGCAAGCGCTGATAGCCGAAGGAATGAGGCACAAATCACAGATCCAAATGCTGACCTCAATGCAGTGCTGGACTGCCAGAAGGAGCTAATGGTAAGTGTAGCTGTAACTGCAGCATCTCACCTCTGCCAGTGAGTTAGCAGCTCTCACCACAAGTTGAAGAGCAGTAGGTTTATTTCTCAGGGTGTCTGGAGCAGGTCCTTGAACCTGCTGTACTTGGGCGTGTGGCTGGTTTCTGAAACGGACTAAGAGATTCCCTCTCTAAGGCATTTTTCCAGTAATTACACATCATAATTAAGTTCCTTAGGAGCAGTGTTTATGCTGGAGTAAGACTGTCAGTTTCCAAAATGTAATGTCTTCTCCATATGGATTAGTTACTGTTAGAACTATTTCTAAATGTTAGTTCAAGCACGTAGAGCCAGTTCATTTCATCTGTAGCTGTAATAGCCATTCCTATGTATTGTGGACTCTCAGGCAGGTTGAGTTGTTCTTTAAAGCCTTCCAGAGTTCCTCCTTGTATGAGAACATCCTCAAAATTGAGAGTAACACTCTGTTGCACTGTTTTTTGTTTGTTTATTTGTTCTAAGCAACTGGAGGAAGAGCTGCTGGAGCAACAGCTCAAAGTAAACTCACTTCAAGAACTCACTGCGTACCTGCGGCTTAAATCAGATGGTGGTTACATTGAAGCTGATGAGAAGGTCCATGTAATTGGAAGGAAACTGAAACAGCTTCTTGAACAAGTTTCACATGACTTAAAGACAATACAAGGAAATCTGGTGAGTCAGAGTTTAAATACTTGTTCACAGATCTTTCTTACTGAAAACTGGTAAAGTAAAAGGGATTTATAAGTAAGTCTGACTTAAAGCTTAACGGTTTTCCCCTTCATAAGCTGAAAAAAGAGCAAGTTTAGCTATAGCAAAAACTTCAGCACCATGAAGCTAGTACAGTACTGGAACAAGTCGTGCAGTCTCCATCCTTGAGGGGCTGGAAGAGCAGACAGGATAAAGCCTTGAGTAAGGCTTTTGGTCTGGTCTCTCAGCTGACCTTGTTTTGAGCAGGAGGTTGGGCTAGATGATCTTCCTGAGATCCCTTCCAACCTGAATTATCCTGTGATCCATATGAAATGCCAGGGTACGAGTGGGTAACAAACACGTAGGAGCTGTAGATCATAGCAACATATTGCTTGTCCTCAAGAGCTGTCAGATAGAGATATTTTCAAGTTAATACCTCTATGCACCTGGTCCATCATCATTCCTTTGGGATGTGCATAGTAAAACTTTGTCCTTATGCTGGAGAACTGGAGGATCTGTTCAGTACTGGTTGCACATTTGAAGAGGCAGGGGGCTGTGCACCTGCAGAGAGGCAATGAAAGATGTGCTTCATCTGTTGGGAGCTCTGGAGCACGCATTTTAAAGAGGAAGGTGTGCTTACCTTTTAGGATACCAGAACATTACTGCTGGTTCCAGAGCGCTGGATTCGGCCGTCTATAACCCAGTTGCAGCAGAAACCAGCCCTCCTGTGAAGAAGGTAAGTATTTTTTCCCAGTGTTTTGCTGTCAGCATATAGCCTATTTTGTCATACTTGGCCTGAAAGCTCCTCAGGTGTAATCATTTCACCTTTTAGATGCACGTACCTTATTACAGAAATTACAACAGCACTTCAAAGTTTACAACTGTCTTTTTTGAGGAGAAATTCCTCATAGTTGTGAAACCTGGAACTGTCTTTTTTGAGAAGGAGAAATTCCTCGCAGTTTTGAAACCTGGATACTGAAAGCTCTTTCTCTTCACAGGTAACCATAAGGAGAACTGCACATGGCAGAGACAGCAGCAGCACAAGGTATTATTTCACATTTACCTCATCTCCTGAGCAGTTAGGAAAACAGCAGAGGCACACCAAGTGCCAGCAGGAACCTGGGCAGCTGTTCCTCATAGGTTGACATACAAGCAGAAGTGATTTCTGCCTACCTGTTGTGTCTCTGCTTGCTAGCCCTGGGCTGCACCTTGGTGAATAGTTTCCTTTAGCTCTCCTGTTGCTAGACCTCTGCACCAATGTGCTACACTTACTCTTGAAATAATAGCTTTGGTCCCAAATGGGGGAATATTTTAGTTTTAAATATTCCTTTTAATTCCGCCAGCATACCTGGAAAAAGAAACTTGCAGCTTAGAGCCACTTAGTACAAACAGACCATGAAGGGCAAAGAAACTTAACCCCCGTTAGGGCCTGTTGAAAGGACACATGTCAGTAGTGCTGAGGTGGAGAGGAGCCTGGTCAGCCTGATGGTGGCTTTCCTTCATAGCTCAGCATGTGTTCAGAGCGGTCCTGCACCGACCTAAGTGATTCCAAGTAAATGTTTCCTCTTCACTAGTAAGAAGAGTGACCCCAAACCAGCAGCTGGCTTCCCACTGAGCAGCTCTCAGAAGTTGAAGTGTTTTGTGTGCACTGCATTTTCCTGTAGCTATGCAGCCCTGTGTCTTGGAAGGGTAGTGAGAACCCTGGAGAGAGAGCTAAACCAACCTGTTTAATTCAAACTCTAAAGTGCCTTTTTTGTCTTTGTCTCTGTTTTTTTTTTCTCTCTCCCTCCTTTTCAGAGGTGAAAGCCATCCACAGCCTCACTCTCCATCCTTCCTTTACCGTGTATTACTAGCAGCTTTACCTCTTCAGTTGTTCCTTCTACTGCTTTTACTTCTGGTTTCCATGATTCCATCTTCTGAGGCAGACTTCAGCTGCACCAAGGCAAACAACTTTGCCCATTCTTTCCATCTCATGCTACAATACACCAATGGGCCTCCACCAACTTAGAAAGCAGCCTGTGAATCTTCAGTTATACCAAAACACTCTCTCTGCGGTGCTTTTTTCATGCTGCTGGCCTCAGTCAAGCAGTGACATCGCATAGTTTAATACTGAAACTTTTGTACTGTGTTAGTTCCCCAAACTAGTCACTGCAGCACCCTCGTGTCCCACACCCTGCTGTACAGGTTGCTGCTGCAGCCAGATAATGCCTCACGTTTATAGCCTCCTATAATGTGTTAAATTTCACATCTCAAAATGTATATCTTGATGAAATTTCAGCATTTTTGTACGGAAAACAAACTTTTTCTATAGATTTTTAAACTGTAATCAACACACTTTATACTTTGATGCAACAGACACACTATTTTGTAGGGGCAGCACTCTTAAGCTTACAAGGTGATTGAATACTGAGTTATGAGATGCAGAAACTCCATCCAAGTAATGGAAGCACGGCAGCCACACAGGTGGCCTGAAATGCTTACTGCACACACTTCACCTTACCTGTGTCTTTTGGAACTGTAGTCACTTGGTGGAAACAAAAAAAGTCTACATCTTTTTGACTCTTTGTTGTTGTATTTTATTCATCTAACGTGTTCAATAAAAGGATGCACATTTTTGTTTTGCATACATGGCTGGAGTGGTTAGAACTGCAGTGTTGTCTTTCTGTGCCACCTTTGAAATCAGGCATTGTTGCATTGTTTGGAAATGTATTTTCTAGGTCAACAGGATTGTGTAGATTATCCCTGGTGTGTACAAATATTGTAATGACTTTATGATTATTTTTTTTTTCCAGTTTTTAACCTGCTAATAATGTACAGTATCTTAGGAGAGAATTGGGCATATTTATAAGCTCTGTCTTTAAAACAGAAACCGATGCTGGGGCAGTGGCTAGAGACACGCTGTGCACAGGAGCACTGCCCTTGCTTCTGGCCTGGACAGTTCAAGTGCTGTCACTAACATTTTGCCAGTGTCTGCAGGGGGGATCATTGCCTCTAGTGGGGGCAGCCAGGCATCGGTTCCAGCAGTGCTGACCCTGCGGCTGCTGTATAAGTGCCTCCGTCTTTCCCTGCTAATCCAGCAGTGGCAGAAGCAGCATAACCCCCCCTTGCTGACAGAGCAAGAGATTGGGCATGCAGAAGCAGAGCCTGTCTTGGGGGCACAGATCCTTTCCTTTGAAACTGGCTTGTTTCCTGGAGGAAGAATACAAAGATGAAGCAGCTCATGCATATTACTAGTTCAAAATGCTGAACTGTTTCCCCACCCTGGAACTGATTTTCTAAACCATGCTACTTGACCTCAGTCCCACACAGCGGTGCCTTGGCTCCAGCCTCCTGAAGCCACAGTGCTCCCCCAGCATTTCCAGAGCACTGCTCTGCCTGGCTGGGTCCATGGTCCCAGGCTGGTGCTCCAGCTGCTGCTTTCACAGCTCCAGCTCTCACCACAGGGCTGTTTCCGGCGATAAATGATGGATCCTCCCCGCCACTCGCCACACACAGACACACTGTCCTGTCCTCTCTCCCTCTGCCATCATTTTTTTGTGTTTTGAAAGCAATTACTTTCAGATGGAGCTCATTTTAAGTTTCTGTCTCTGTAAAAGTCAGCCAACTCTAGCCATTATTTCATTGCCAGATTTTCACAAATGCCCATGCAAACCTTTCTGCCAAGAACTAATAGTCAGGTGCTGACATGATATTCAGTTCTTCTGCCATTAAAGAACCTATACAGGGGGAAAGAATTTGAGCAATGTTAAAAGGTCCAAAGAAAATTTCATAGCCTGCAATTTCCTTTCATTATGTACAGTTATGTCGAATTGTTGAGCTGATGTAATATATGAAAGGAGGAGCTTTCAGGAAATCATATCCAAACATCACAAAAAAAACTCTAGGAAAATAACTTAAACTTTCCCCCAAACCTATTTTAAATCATTTTACTTCCAGTTGATTATAACCACTGCACTGTAGGCTGACACTCAAGTGGGCTTCAAACAAGCCATTATATATACCCACCAATTTCTTGGTGTCTTCCTCACTCAGGACTGGGTTATTAGTGCTCAGTAAAGGGGGAAAAAATCCAACAAAACTAAAACTAGGAGGGTGAGAACAACAGCGAGAGTCAGAACACTCGTGTGGAACTAATAGTCAGGTGCTGACATGATATTCAGTTCTTCTGCCATTAAAGAACCTATACAGGGGGAAAGAATTTGAGCAATGTTAAAAGGTCCAAAGAAAATTTCATAGCCTGCAATTTCCTTTCATTATGTACAGTTATGTCGAATTGTTGAGCTGATGTAATATATGAAAGGAGGAGCTTTCAGGAAATCATATCCAAACATCACAAAAAAAACTCTAGGAAAATAACTTAAACTTTCCCCCAAACCTATTTTAAATCATTTTACTTCCAGTTGATTATAACCACTGCACTGTAGGCTGACACTCAAGTGGGCTTCAAACAAGCCATTATATATACCCACCAATTTCTTGGTGTCTTCCTCACTCAGGACTGGGTTATTAGTGCTCAGCGAAGGGGAAAAAAAAACCAACAAAACTAAAACTAGGAGGGTGAGAAAACAGCAAGAGCCAGAACACTCGTGTGCACTTGCACAAATGTTGTATGTGGGAGTACAACCAGGCCAAAGCTGGTGTTGAGCTGATGTCTTGTTTCTTCAGCAGCAAGATGACACCTGAATCTGTTTTCAGCTGGACCTACCCAAAACAACAGTTCTGCGAGCACAGGAAGCAGGGAACTGTTTGTTTAGTATGACTTGGCCCTCCCCTACCAGTCCGTGAACCATTGTACCACAAACCTGCATCGTCTGTGCTCACTTGGTGCTGGGAAACATCCAGGAACTCAAGAACCTGAGAACGTAAATCAACCTAGAGCTTGTGGAGAGGCTGCAGAGGTGAGGGTGAGACACTCACAGGCACCCTGACCATGCATGTTATACACTGAGGAAACCAGGCTGAGCTCAGCTGCAGGAAAGAAATGAAGAAAAAGCCACAGATTTGGGTTTCACGAGACCTGTTTATTCAGCCACCACAATCTACAACTGAATGAAGCACAGCTCACTAGACAAATACTGTAAGTTCACAGAACTAAAGAGCAGCTGAAAGAAAAGGAGACCTCAGGGTGGGTTTTTTTCACATTAGTATAACACATAAAATACCTTAAAAGGCACCAGTTTCAGTCATAAACCCATTTCCGTTGCAAACTTGCGGTGAGGGTGGAGCGGTGAAAGTAAAACCACGTTCTAAACTAGAATTCAAACAGAAAATCCTGGGGAAACACACAGAGGGAGTGTGCCGTGGGCTCCGGAGTGCCTGGCGTGAGGAGTGCAGGAGGTTGGGTCTGCTGAGGCAGCTGGCGTTGGCTTTTTCTGTTTGTCCCATGTGCTCTTTGCACTGTCAGCCTGGACCTCTCATCAGAGCCGTGGGTTGGATGGAGGGGGTTGGGCACATCCCAGGAGAGAGGAGCTATTCCAGCAGGGCACAACTGGTTTCTGTTACACAGCCATTGCATATTTAAGAGCAGAAGAAACACCTTCACGCCGTATGGATCTCAGATCCTTACCTGGAGCAGTCCCCAGGGACCAGCACACACAGTACATGGATCAGTCCCAAAGGATGCTGCTCCACAGCACGTACAATCTCACGCTGGAGGAGGAGATTGTCTACTCAGTGCTTTAAAGCCTTGGTCTGGGAGCTGGAGACATAGGGGTTTGCTCCTAGCCCTGACAGATTTCTTCTGTCACCTTAAACCTATCCCTTCTTCTCTGTCTCAGTTCACCCACCTCTGAAAAGGAGAGGCAGCGATTCCTTGCCCCACAGTACTGTTCTGAGGCTTAATTCCATAAGGTGCTTTTGAAGAACCTCAGAAAAGATACTATAAAGTGCAGCCCCTGTCATGTCAGACACACAGACAGAGGTGTGTGTACCACAAGCCCTTCCCAAGGTACCCGTGTGTGAATCCAGAAGAGGGGAGGG